CTCTCCTCAGGTTACTTCAACTCCACGCTGAACCCCATCATCTACGCCTACTTCAACCGCGACTTCAGAAAGGCCTTCCGCAAGACCCTGCGCCACTACGGGCTGGACTGCGCCGCCTGCAAGCGGTGCTCGCGCGTGCGCTGCGGCCGCGGCAGGAAGCTGATGTTCTGCGCGGCTGGCGCGGCCACGAGTCGCCGTCGTCGGAGGTGCAGCCGCGCTCCGCCCTCAGCTCCGAGTACTGCCACATCGAGATGACCACCGTGGACAAAGTGGCGCGGGTCGGCTTCGACCACTAGCCGGCGGGCGAGGGCGGCCGTGAGCCTCGTCGTGCGGACGACCGGAGTGGCCTGACGCCTCGAGGACGACCGTGAGCCTCGAGGACGACCGTGAGCCTCGAGGACGACCGTGAACCTCGAGGACGACGTCGGCGGAGTGTCGTCGCTGTGCGGTTTGGCGACGAAGCGCAGTAATCATAGTACATAACTCGATGTTGCTCTTTGCAAAACAATGCTTTAGTCTATTATGTGATGTATCAAAGCACCATGTGTGTGTCAGTGTGTCTGTCACAACTAAAGTATGTGACGTGTTTCTGTACGATTTAATATCAAGGTGCATTGCATGACGCCATGGTTGTTCATGTTACATCATCTCATGGCGCCATGCAGTGTCTACCGAAATAATGAATCAAAATGACTGATTTTCTTTCGTAGACAAATATGTCAACCACGGACATTGTACCAAGAACAACAGGGCGACCTGAAAAGCGTATGTGAATAATTCACAACAATAATGATTTAAGCTTTAAATAAAAGAGAGAAAAGCAGGTTAGCGTCATTAGTCATAAGTATTTTGTACAATGATATTCCTTCAGTAATTTCCATATAGAGAACTTTGCATTCCTTAAGTGATGAATAACGGCTGCTACATTCTGCGTTCATTCGAGAGCCTTTAGCCCCGCCCATGACAGCTGGAGACGCTATGATTGGCTGAAAGAAATAAACAAGGCGTGGCTTCGCTGGAACTCATTCTTTTTTCAGCCAATTATTGGTTTAATGGGTTGGGTACTGGTTCTCGGCCATTAGAGTAATTAAATAATCTCTATTTTAAAATCAAACGCATAATAAGGATACAAGTCTTTGGAAAGAGGAAGACAAAAAGCCCCTCTTTCTACTGCCAAGAAAACTCAAGAAGTTTCGCTGTAAAAAAGATACGTGAAGCTTCTTTTGAATTTTTGGGTAAGATGAAGCTCAACGATAACTGCGATAAACAAGTAGTAAATCAGGGTTATGGTCCTGAGTGTACAGTAATTATCGTACTCACGATGAGTTACGAATAAGTAGTAATGAGTAAAAAAAAAAATAACTCACAACCCGTGTGGGTAGCTTAGGGAAGGTAATGGGCACCATTCATGCATGTTGTAAAAAGATTGAGTCATAGAAACATATGTCGATGTATATGTACACGGATATAAGAGGACTAAAGAGCTAGCCACAACAATGGCGGACAAGGGGGTACGTTCAGATGAATAAATGATTTGTCAAACTACCTAAAGAAAAAAATTTGTAAATAAAAATCGTGTTTACTCTTTCGTGAGTTTAAACGTACTTTTTTCGCTCTAATCATCCTGCCTGACAGATGAGTGTGGAATATTTGAATTCTGTGTACCGCGTAGTTAGTAGACAGAAGGAAAAATACTTTCGTGTCTACCTCTCTATCGGTCATTATTGGTTTATTCGTCTGTATCTCAATCTATTCGGTTTTCTTTGAAAATGTGTGTAAAATAAAAGATATGCCTGATACTGATAGGAGATGATATTGCTAATAAAACAAAAAAACAACAAAAAGAAGAAAAAAAAAAAAACATATCGGAACATTCAGAATACACATAAACTTATCATCTTAATTCTTTGCCCAGAAAATTAATAAGATATAAAGAAATCCTAATCTTCGTTCTTTTCTCCCGAGTTCCTTCTGAAGCAGAAAATGGAACTTGACAGAAGACACAGTATCAAAAAAAAAGAGAAAAAAAAGTATATTAAACTGTCTTGTTTCCAAAAACAACCTCCACCCTTTGGATGTGTGTTGCACTCCGGTTTCTGTTCTGTCATTCGGTTGAGTGATGAAACAGGAGAGGAACACGAGTGCTGGAAATTCCTGTAGTTCCCCCATGTCATCTGCCACGGTGGTCAGTATTTATTTAAATATTCCGATTATGTTAGATCTTAGATGTATATAAATATATAATATATACAGTACATATATCTATATATATATACTATATATATATTAAGTAAAACTAGTTTCGACGCAGCACTGATGTTTGATTCTTCTCTAATGTGATACAATGTGTTGTACAGCTTTTGTATGCATCAACGCAATGTCCAAAATAGTAAAATATCATAATAAGCGAAAAGTGATGTATTATTTAATTATGTATATTTGTATGAGAGAGTGCACGTATATTATGTGCATGTGTGTAAATAAATAGTAGTCGAAAACG